GAATTTCACGCTTGTGTACACATTTTCCGCTTCTACAAACAAAATGATAATGTCTGGGTTTTGGCTGTATTAGGCTAAGTATGTAGATGAAACGTTTTTTGAAAACATTGATAAGTAGGTTTTATTATTACTTCGGCTCAGTTTTTTAGCTTTCAGCTGTTCTTGTTATAAAAACAAACACAACAATGAATCTTAGCAAGGTTTCGCCATTACTTTAGTGTATTTTTTGGTAGGTATATTGAATCATTAGAGCACACTTTGACTATTAGTTTTGTGATCCGTAGAATCACAAAACTGGTAAAATAACGGATTTATTTGTCTACTGTTACTCTTTACAACAATAATTGTTTTTGTATATTTGATAATTGTATATCAGATGAATGTTATTAAATTAAATTAAAAAAGTAAACAAACAACAACCAAAATACATAATTGCCCGTTAATATTACATAATTTCATACCACATTCAGAACCGTTCAAAAGTTACTAATCAATTGATTAAAAATGCATTTTAACTGGCAGCCATTATGAGCAGGACGCTTAAATATGTACAAAGAGGTAAAAATGTAATTTTCAATGTTCATTAACTCGCTACAAACCATTTTATGGATGGAGCACACAAATTGATAGTCAATTTTATTCAGTGTCTAGTCTAAAAATAAATGTTATTAACGATATTGAAAGTGAAAAGCGAAATATCTACTAACCATAAATTGCTAATTTATTTTATAAGTACTCAAGAAATTCTTCGTCACTCTGTAAAGAGTTTGCCTTGGATTGAGTTAGGTTAAATTTCAAAATATTCTTTAGCATGATAATAATTGATCATTTTGTCTCAAGGCTATCTGTTCGTATGTTTTTGTAATGAAAACCGTATCGGAGTACTTATTTCTATTTTATAAGTATTATATTTGAATAAAGGCATAGGCTTACTAATATTTTCTCGAAACAATTTCAAACAATAGTTTAATTACGGCGGTTCGGATTATCCTTAGACAAAGTAGAGTAACTAATTACGGAAAATTACAAAATACGAGCTTCATTGTAAGAATTTCAGACTTCTAACGTTATTACTGGTAAACCCCTAGCTTAAAGGTATGTTTCTGCTTGGTTTCAGTTTAACTTGATTAATATTTCAAAGCCTTTAAAGGTTACATAGGGTGTTTAAAAATTTTTACTCATTAGTTTTGTCTCGTATTTGGGGAATGTACTACTGTATCATGAGTAGAGTCTTAAGTATATTACGAGTAAAATGATGCCTTTGATTTAAACTTCACTTGTAGCTGTGTGTGTGTGGATCATGGTCTTATAGTCGCAGTCTAGTGCCTGGATGCAAGCGGCGCAGGGTCGGTCTTTGAGGAAATCCTTGGGGAAGGCCTTTGACCAGCAGTGGACGTCTTTCGGCTGAAACGAACGAACGGACAAAGAAAGAAACAGATGGAGCTTTATTTCAGTGTCATCCAATCAGTGGTATTAGATAGTAAGAGCCGAAGCACACGATGCGTTGCGGCGCCGCACCGCCAATATTTCGCAGTTTGCCGCAACTCGGCGCGCCGCACCGCTCGTATGCCCGCTACAGATATTTTCTGTGATGACGATGAAGCGAAACTTCTCCGGTGTCGCACCGCTGCCGCAACGCATCGTGTGCTTTGGTCTAACACTTTTAAGAATAAAACAGATTTCGTGGAATCCTACCGGTCGACGTCAACTAGGTAGGTCTCTTCCATGGATTCTTATCAGGACCATAGGTACCAATCCTTTTATTAGTTACTAGCCAACATTCCTTAACATTATTGTTCTCTTCACGTTAATATCTCTTTATTCAATCCACCCTTCCATGTGATACGGATCGGGTGCGTTCCAAGAGTTGTGAATCGTATTCTAATTCCATATCCGTACTGCGGAAAGGTTTTAATTAGTCCGTGTGGGAAATCGCATTTTATGTGAGTTGAAAATATATTTACCTAGAATTATTATTTCACGGATAACCTCGTCTTTTTCTTTAATCTCTTCGAAGAAAATATTTAATAGGCAGTAAATGTTTACGGAAACGTTTCTCAAAAAATTCCCAAAACTCCGAGATTATTATTCCCAGTTCCCCAAAATCTCTTTATTTGATGAACAAAATCCTTAACACTGCTGAATGGATGTGATGTTATGCAGACATGTTAACGTTGCTTGAAATAAGTCGTAAGGAGTTCCACAGCAAAATATATGCTGTCGTTACAGTCGTTACATCCAAGAAACAGTCGCGAAGGAAAAATAAAAACGGTGATTCATAACTTCTTTCGTCCATTACAGCTATGGAGACTTGCGCGGGTGTTTTTTTCAATCAATTTCGATGGCCCACTTTATATTCAAATGGTTATTGAGTGTGGTGAACTTTCGGCTGAGGAATCGATTTGAAAGATAGGACATGGACGTGAATGGAACGGGTAGTGTTTCGGTGCAGAATGAGTTGGTGCTGCCCCGATTTGACACAAGGACTCGTGTTTGCCGCAAAAATAAGAACAGGAAAATGTTTTGCGGTGCAGCGATTTACGGGATGGCAAAGGGTTGTTCCGTTTTATTCAAACGCTTTACGATGTATTTGCAATTATTATTTTGTATGGTTTCGTATTCCCCATAAGACGACTTTGATTTATTATTACTATCGAAGCAAAAAGTTTTGTCTTTTGGTACCTACCTATGTAATTTATTAGTAGCTTTTATATTAGAATATTAGCTGTGTGTGACTATTTTGTATTGAGGCAGAATTTATAGGACAGTTTTATGACAACTGTATTTTTTTAAGTCTCCCCAATGGTAGTATGCTATATTATGTATTATGCACCCTATATTATTCGGTAGGTACCTAAATGATAAATTCTGCCGCACAATTTATAAACGCAGTAAGTAACAAGTGAACAGTTTCGAGAAAAACGCGATCAAAGTTGAAATTTTATTTTGGAGTGTCTACAATTAGTTACGCAAATATTTGTAAAAAAAAATATATAGGCTTATAGAGCTAAACTCAAAGTTTATTTTGATATGAGGTTTTTGTATTTTAATTAATATTTTGTATTTAAAATTAATAAAAAACTGTTTATGTTATGGATTAACTTCGTTTTCGTTCGATACTTACTACCCATGAATGCAGTATGATTGTTCCTTACTGCGTTTATCAGTAGTTTTCGTTACTTACGGTACATGTGTTAAATGATTGATTTAAATTTTAGTTCTTACAACGTAATATATGCGCCGTATCCTTACAACTTACTGCATTTATGAGTGGGAGTGTGAATCAAAATAATTTATCAAAACTTTAAATGCGCAGTAATAATGCAATTATACTGCGCTTATCATAAGCCAATAACGCTTTCATGTTGAACTTTCCCAAATGACCAAGGGGTAAATGAAACAAGTATTACAAAGTAATTGCTGAGATCGCTTGTTATTCAATCAAAAATTAAGATATGGCACCCACTTTTAGATCTTAAATACCAATCTAATAAAATAAAGACTCGGTCGTTCGTTTCGNACAATTTTGATAACGCAAACAAATCGACGTGTTTAATGTTATAAGACCGCATTTTGTTTAATACAACCTCAATTTTAAGGTCTAGAGGCATTTGAATCATATAGGCCTTATTCCGTGTAGGTGATTTATTAAAGCCAAAATCAGTGGTTTCGTAATTTGCTTATTTTGAAGAGATTTAGTTAAAAATTGTGTTATTTTTTGTAATATTGCTAAAATTAAAGGATGGAAGAAGTTAATTAACCTTGTTTTTGTTGATTGGCGTTAATATTTATTAAAATATAAGCATTTAAAGTTAGGTAGGCCTTATTTGTATCAAGTACCTTATTTCATGATACGGTTCGGTATAGGTACAATTAAACAATATAAGTAAAGGATTAAACAATTATTTAATTAAGAATTATTTGGGAACATAATATTAGACTAGAATAACTGGCACCATTGTTTTGGGTAACTATCAAACCGACCCTTTACATAGGAGGCTCATCTCTACAATTGCTATTAAATTTTGTATTAATTATTCTGTTTTGTTATTATGTTACCGAAAACAAAAGTGGAATGTCAAAACAAAAGTCATTTAACAAGGTTAACAAATCATATAATGTTATTTATTAATAATATTTAAAAAATCACAAACCGTTATCAGTCTGCTTGAGAAGACCTATTGAAATGAAGCAATAATACCAATATTAGAAAGAAGAATATTTAACTGCCTGAAAAGAGCTATTGGAGCTATATTAATTTCGCACAAATGAAATTCGCTGAAATGTAGTTTGTAGTAACATGACGCACCAATGAACTCGTTCACTATAATAGTTAGAAATCTAAATTGTAGGTACAAATTACCAACATATTCATTTACACATACCTACATTCTCAGCAACGCTAATTTAATTAGAAGAGAAATTAAATATCAAAACAAGAAACTTTATTATGTTTCTTATTTGTGCTAGCTCGTGCTTGGTATACATGTTTATAATATAAAAACAACAAACGGCCCTTTTGGGATATTAGACCTTAGAAATAACAAATTTGGTATCATTTTAATACGTAATTTTAGTTACTAAATAACAATTCTCGAACGGTAACATTAGAAATGTATTAAAAATAATATAATTATTATGCCTAATACCTATTCTAAAGTCCGGTTTCCACTAAAGCACAGAAAAGAGGAGAATGTGTTTTATATAAAGGAACTGATTTCATTATTTCCACATCACTTCGCCGCTCAGCATCGGTTAAAAGAACCTGATTGGTTATTCAAAACAAACATCTCTCGTCTCCTCTCCGCTCCGCTATGATGGAAACGGGGCCTCATAAAATAAAAACGTAAAGGATTTGTCACACTGGATACGTTCTGCGGGCTGCGGTCAGGTCAAAGTGAACGCAGTCCGCATCATCATCATCATCATCTCAGCCATAGGACGCCCACTGCTGTGCATAGACCTCGCCCAATGATTTCCACAATGGCCGGTTGGTGGCGGCCTGCATCCAGCGCCTTCCCGCTACTTTTATGAGGCGTCGGTCCACCTTGTGGGTGGACGTCCTCCGTCGCGACGTCCGGTCACCAAGCCCCCGATAATAATCCAACCTTGCACGATCTATAAACATAGTCGTACTGATGCGGCCTGACATTGCGGCACGAGAAAAAAACGATGACATATTGCCTGTTCACGATCACTGGCAGACTGTATTGCCCGGACCGCAGACCGTTGCCCTGAACGACAATGTTGTTCATATACATAATGCGGGCTACGTTCACTTTGACCGCAGAACGAGAAAAGACCCAGTGTGGCAAATCCTTTAACATCAAAGGAATTATTGCTAAAACTGGATGCTGCCTGCTCATACTTTCAGTTATTCTTGTTTTGTTTACATTTAAAGGGTTATTGTTTGTTTGCGTTCGCTTTGCACAAGAAAAAGATAAACAATGAACCTAACCAATCAAATAACATATCTCTAACGTTCGCTTACAATAACAAAAATAGAGAGGCTCTACGTATACATATAACTGGACTTGGAAAATATAAAGTTATGTAATATTAATGTATGTACCTAAATGAATTTGAGCCACAGAACGAAGGAAGGCATATGGTTCAGAGTTCCAAATGAGCAGATTAATGAAAATATTCTTTGTGTATTTATGTACTTGAAGATATTTTTTTAAAACACTCATTTCGTCTTCGATATCTAGATTTATGACCACATAGCAAGTGCGTAAGTAACTAGTGAGTAAATTTTTTTATAGAATATTACATTAAATATTTACAGAAATATGTCACAGGTAGGTAAAATAAACAAGCGACGTGACGGACATTTAATAAATATTGCCAACCAAATTAATGTTATTAAAATGTATCAATTTGTTTAAGTGCTTGTTTAAACTTTCAAAGTAATCACATTTATGTCAGTCGCGTCAATATTTCGATTCTTCTCAACTACACTCAAGATTTCAACAAAATCATATCAGTCTTTCTGATGGAGTAAATAATCGATTAGTTGGAATAGCAGGGAATAGTCAAACGGGCAATACGGGTATTCGTTCCTGCAGTGTCCCGGATTTTGGTGCTTGACACCGTAGTTGTACGCCTGGATGAACACGTCGCGGGACGTTCGGTCGACTTCTTTCGGGTTCAAGCTGGAATAAGAAGACGTTTTAAAACATTGATGTTAGTAGAGTATTTCCTAGCTCGATGGCATCCTTATGCACTGGCTTTGGTCGTACTTAGCCCGATTTGTCTCAAAAGCGGTTATTTACACAGGGTCTTCCAAATAATAATGGTTTTGCTACATCGCTAACATGAAAATTTCATCCCTTTTCATATTTTTGCGTCAAAGTATTTATTTAGGTATTTCATTTTTGGGAAACATACAGTTACAATTATAATTTAACTAAGGTGCAGTAAAAAACCACATAAACCAATTAAGTTTCCATAGTTAAATACACACAAAAAGTTGGGCAAACCATAACGAATATTTTTTTTATTGTTGTGTAAAGACAGCACTCCGTCTTGCAACTGGTAATTCTATAGCACCTTTCGCAAGGCATAACAAAAGCTCATATTAAAAAAAAATAGAGACAACCGCACATGGAGGTTTAATATTGGGGAAACAAAAGCAGATAATATGTATTTTAGATACCATTTCGAAACAAGCAAATCTCAAAATACCTATTACTTTTTCTAGGTCTCATCAATCTCTACAAAAATAAAATTTACTCAACAGTGGAAGCGTCGAAGCATAACAGACCAACAGAGTTACATTCGCATTTACAATAGTTATAAGCATAGATTGCCTGCAAACTGGTCCAATTATGTAATGTACAAGCTATGCATACGTAATGCGTAAGGGTAACAAAACTGTGTACATTTCACGGATGAGAGTGACTAAAAGGACAGACTGTTAATCAGAAATTGTCGTATCATAACCATGGACCTATAAAAAAAGTCGGACGGATTCTCATCAACAAAATACTGTGACATTAGGATACACCAGCTTGCCTGTAGGTACGTACAGGCCGGCACGCACACATTCACACCCTGACGCACCACTTCGAGTGCAAACTTCACACAGCTGACACATTTAAGCGGCGAAAAAACAACACAAATACGACATGTCTTGTGTGATGAAATTGTGTAAAAACCGTTCTGTTCGAACAAACAAAAATTAAGGAATCACATTTCACAGGTAAAATAATAATCCAATCACTTATTTCCCGACATTAAAATATTGAAATTAATTGAAATCAAACGTCATTCATCCGAAAAAATAATACGTCAAAGACCAGTGTTCTCAGTTTTTTATATGGGAAAATTACCCGAAATATGGGAAATTAATAATAATTTTAGGACTTTTTGGTTATTTATTACGCATACTATAGAAATAAAATAATTTATCATAATAATTGTGTTTTAATGGGATATATTTTCATAGGCAGATTTGATCCTTCCCAAAAATGTGAAACTGCGAAATTCAAATTTTCTTACATTGATTGCAAGTCAGTGTCAGGTTGTATGTTAAAATCTATCAGAGATAATAATAATTATATTGATGATGCATAAGATTATGATTATAATGTAGGTACACAAGATTCGTAATTTGTAACTGCGTGAATCATTTTTGATCAACATTATGTACATACCCTGACATTGACTTGCAAACAAAGTAAGAAAATTTGAACATTGAAAATTTCGCGCCTACCTCAACGCACTCACCTTTCATCTTTTTCAAATTCTGTCTACATTTCCAAGTAACATCTGCCGATCTATGTTTTTCTTAAAATAAATGGGTAAAATGTTTTAGCTAACATGGCATCCCTAAATTCACTCACACAATAGACAAACGCCAAAATTTTGCGTCACAGTTTTGTTGTAGCGCGAGTTCCGTCCGCCTTTTTTTATAGGTCCATGATCATAACTATATTTATAAGCTAAAATAAATAAATAAATATTAAATTTATAAATAAATCAGTTTGCTGATTTTGAAATGAACTTCTACAGTCTCTCACACCAAGCCCGCTGAAAGCCTGGGACTTGGAACCGACGGCATTTTTTCAAAAGAATCATGTCGACGACTTGTACTTTCCATGACATTGACAACATGTCAAAAGTCAACGACTCATGTTGGCGCGTCGGCGGGTTTGGTGTGTAAATAGCATTATACCTTGGTTCGACAACTACCATTTTATAAGGAGCTAGAACCCACACGATTGTCCTTAATTTGTTTAAGCAATGTTAACGGTTCATCAATCAATCTACCGAACGAGATCTTAACAAAGACAACTGGGTAGAAACGAAGGTTCGAGCGGCCCTTGTCCGGTAATGTGTGGATCGTCCTTAATTAAACCCCTCATAAATCATTGATTGCATGATTTTTACATCAAGGCAAGGGCCCTGCTTAACAATTCTGAATTTAATTTTATTCCGAGCAAAGCTTAAAATTAATTGAGATATTTCCGAAAATTGTGTCACTGAACAGCTCAATTGGAAATTAAACATTTATGATGAAATATTAAAAAAGACGAAAAGGAAAAATATTAAATGTTGCTTCGAGAAAAGGATGGCGACGTGAATATGTTACAGTCAAAACTCCCAATCAGTCAAAACCACTTTTGACCGCAAAACTCAGTCAAAAGTGGTTCTGACTGATGCTCTTGGTCAATATCATTTTGACAGATTTTTCCAGTCAATAAGTTAGTAAAGACATTACTTTACATGAAGTTTGGACTGATTGGTAAAATTTTGAACCAGGCGAAAGTACTTTTGACTGATTTTCGCGGTCAATAAAATAAAATAATATTTTTAGAACACTTCCTCATAAAGCCGCTTTTCTTTCACGATTTTAGATTTTTGTTACAGTTACCAAGTGCTATGAACTATGTTCAGCAGTGGACATAAAAAATCACTCCAATACAATAAAATTAGATGCCTCAACGTTTAGCTTAACATCAGTCGTCTAAAAAGTCTGTAAAATCAAAATTACAACCATTATCTGAGCAATAGGGTTCCTTTAAAACACAGCAGAAACAAAAATCTAAAATCATGAAAGAAGAGCGGTTTTACGAGAAAGTGTGCTAAAAATATTATGTTATTGAAGCCATTGAAGAATAAACTTTAAAGTAAAATACGTTTTTCAGTTTTTATAAAAATATTAAAATGACACAATAATTTTATTTTCGGCGACTGTAAAAAATATTTTCTGTCCGTTCATATCCTCGGATTAAACGATGATTACGACTAAATTAATAATGATTGATTGAAATGAATGACGGATTCATTACTTTCAATTAACTTTCCATTTTTAATTAGTTATCCAGCAGAATTTTCCGAAGTCAATGTCAGAGGAAAAAAGTATTTTGAAGTAACAATTTCATTACTATAACATGATAGGTAGGAAATTATGTGTTTTTTTTTAAATAACTAGCTGACCCGGCGAACTTTGTTCCGCCTTAATGGCAATAAATAACGGGATAAAAAGTAGGGTAATTCCAGGATACATGCCCCAGTGGGATAGGTGCCGCGATTTTAAGTACACTATGTTACAAGCAACTTAGCCTAAAGTTGTAGTACGTATAATAACAAGGGACCTCCCCTTACCACTTTTCGCCTCGCAAACCATCAAAGAGTGCATTCGTTTAGCCAGTGAGAGCAAAAATCTTCCGCGGCCAGACCTTAGCGAGCGTCGAAATAATATTGGTAAGTATTTTTTAATGGATAATTTTTTTGTTAGCTGTAAAATGTAACAGATTTTTATATAATTTGATAGACTATCTTATAAATTATACGGGATAGATATGTTTAATTAGATTTTTTGTGTTATTATATTTTTTATTAAAAACGGCACCTATCCTATGCTAAAAGGATAGTTGCCTAATTTTTTTTGGGTATAGATGCCCTTAGGGCCATGTCCCATGCACCTAGGAGCATCTATCCCAACCTGCTCTTTTTGTCACAGGTAGCAAGTAAGAAGAAAAAAAGGATGTAGTACGGCTAACCTTAGGAAAGTAATAAATAGGGTGCCCTACTGATCGAATTACCTTTTTACCCGACTGCGCTAGAAGGAGTAGTATTATTTTTAGTAAAAAAATATTAAATTTCATTTTTAATTCATTTAATAACAAACAATCTTAAATAATAATACTTGGCTTGTTTGATTTCAAAATGTATTTGATCCTTAGAATTCAAAAACTGTATTAACGAGTCATCTATCCCTGCATCAGTCATCTATCCTTTGAAGCAATCATACAGTTAGTCTTCTATCCCCCACATTAGGCGTCTATCCCACTTTTTAGAGGTCAATTAAAATGGCATTTACTCAGAATCGGTATAACTTAAACTAAAATAATTATAGTAATATCATAGACGAAAGACCAAATTTTACAGATACTAAGGTCAAATTGTTGATAAAAATTTACTGACTGAGTTACAGAGCTGTTTCAAAAAGTGGGGCATCTATCCTGGACTTACCCTATCCTATGTCCTTCTGCTGGCTCTAAACTACCTCCCTGACAATTTTCAGCTAAATCGGTTCAGCCGTTCTTGAGTTATAAGCGAAGTAACTAACACGACTTTCTTTTATATATATAGATTAAAACCGGTTTTCTTGTTTAACTACCTAAAGTCTAAGGCACAGATATCATGCTAAAGTATATTCTACCTATGTTTCTTTAATTAGGGATTATGTATGTTTCAGACACATAAAAATATGGTAAAAATATCTACCTATTTTCTCTATGAATAGTTTTTTTTTAAACAAGACAAGGCAGGTATTTGACCGCAATTGCACCTGGTGTTAAGTGAGATGGAGTCTAGGATGGTACATAACTGCCCTACATAATACAAGACTTACGTCAGCATATACACAAAGCCGTGTTGCAGTTCTGTGTGTTTGTTGCTCGTGGCTCCCAGCTCGCAGTACAGATACCGAGCGCATTGTATGGGGTCATGGTGTAGAATCATTCGCCATCGCACGTGGGGGCTCTAAAAACAAGAAATAAATAACTTTTTAAAAAAATAAAACCGACTTCAAATGCGTGAACACAAAAAAAAAACTAAAAATTAAAAATATTGTGTATAAAAAAGTTCATCCCCAATTTTCCACCCTTGGGGGTGAAATATTTTCTTCAAATTCGCATGAAACCACCCTTTTGATAATACCTATTCAACAAAAAAATAATCGTTCAAATTGATTTATAATCTGCGGAGATATTGCGTATAAAAAGTTCATCCCCAATTTTCCACCCTTGGGGGTTGTTTTTTCTATTATTAAATTTAAATGGGACCACCCTTGAGGTATTACCTATACGCCGAAAAAAGATTTGTTCAAATCGGTTCATAATTGGCGGAGTTATCGCGTAACAAACATAAGGCACAGATATCATGCTAAAGTATATTCTACCTATGTTTCTTTAATTAGGGATTATGTATGTTTCAGACACATAAAAATATGGTAAAAATATCTACCTATTTTCTCTATGAATAGTTTTTTTTTAAACAAGACAAGGCAGGTATTTGACCGCAATTGCACCTGGTGTTAAGTGAGATGGAGTCTAGGATGGTACATAACTGCCCTACATAATACAAGACTTACGTCAGCATATACACAAAGCCGTGTTGCAGTTCTGTGTGTTTGTTGCTCGTGGCTCCCAGCTCGCAGTACAGATACCGAGCGCATTGTATGGGGTCATGGTGTAGAATCATTCGCCATCGCACGTGGGGGCTCTAAAAACAAGAAATAAATAACTTTTTAAAAAAATAAAACCGACTTCAAATGCGTGAACACAAAAAAAAAACTAAAAATTAAAAATATTGTGTATAAAAAAGTTCAGGCACAGATATCATGCTAAAGTATATTCTACCTATGTTTCTTTAATTAGGGATTATGTATGTTTCAGACACATAAAAATATGGTAAAAATATCTACCTATTTTCTCTATGAATAGTTTTTTTTTAAACAAGACAAGGCAGGTATTTGACCGCAATTGCACCTGGTGTTAAGTGAGATGGAGTCTAGGATGGTACATAACTGCCCTACATAATACAAGACTTACGTCAGCATATACACAAAGCCGTGTTGCAGTTCTGTGTGTTTGTTGCTCGTGACTCCCAGCTCGCAGTACAGATACCGGGCGCACTGTATGGGGTCATGGTGCAGAATCATTCGCCATCGCACGTGGGGGTTCTAAAAACAAGAAAAAAAAACAAAATTATTAAAAAAAAACATAGAATTATAATAATTTATTTTATTGCAAACTCAACCCTGCCCTGTTACAACTAACATAGTCCCAGTATTTAGCTTGATGTGCTGGTAATCTGTAGGTACGGTCAAATTGTTCACGTCTCTCAAAGTGGTTGACAACGCAACCGTAGCAAACTTATTGGCTACTTTGGGCGTCACGAACTCTGACACTGACTGTACCTACCTAGCCGTAGTATCTCTTCCAGTAGCCGTCTCCCGATAGCATTTTGGGATCTTCAAATCCAAAGTTGAATTTGAAAATTCAAGCCTGACTGTAGTTGGTTCAATTTTCAATGTTTAGAGAGCTACAATTCTGAAACTTATTATGTATAGATTCACTACACTATTAACTGTCTTATTTTTAAACAAGTAGTCGTTGATTTAGAATGCCTACGCAGTTTTTTTCCTATCGTTATGTATCACGGGAAATAGTTATTTTTAAATTCAGAGAAATCGAGCAATAATATTTTGTTTACTTTTTTTTTACCGAGTTTAAAAAATTACTCTAATGATCTCGAATAAATTTAGGTCATAGAGGTTTACCGGGCAAAATCTTTTCTTGGAAAAATTAGTTTTCTTCCTGTTTCAAGAAAATTGACCCTTGCCATAATGATTGGTAATTTTGCTATTAAGATCATTTTCTCAAAAGAATGAAGTTCGGTTTGTCAAGGTTTTTAAAAAAATGTATTTAGGGAAGTAAACTTTATTGCTTTTTAGTACAAATATTAATTTATGTCACAGTGTTTAGCTTTAATATGCCGAAATATAATTGAAATTGTTCAAATAGGAAAGACGAACGAAAAATAGAGTAAAAATATACGAAATATTATCTCTGTAAATACAATACGCGTAGGATTGTGAATATTATGCTTTATCATACACTTTTCATAAGTGACATGTGCTGCTTTTGCTTAGAGAATATTCCTTTGTTTATAAGATAAAGCATTTATAAGATAACATGGAAGTGATGGTGCGGGCTATTACGAGCTATTGTATTATGTGGTTACATACAATCTAATGTGATAGTCAAATTGGAATTGTTTTCTCTTTAATATTTTAAACTATTATGTTGCATTTTTTACTATAAAATTTTAGCAGACGACGCCGCATCTCTTCAGTCTGCCCGCGACCATGACTCGTGCAACCGAGCCGAAACGTCGGGAGGGTAAATATTATTTACCGTTAAAATAGATATTGTTGTTTTCTCTTATTGTACAAATAACCAGAAAATAACGATGAAATAAAACTCCGAATAGTTTGAAGTGATTGTTATATTTTTGCAGTGCGTTTTAATTGATTAATGTGTACGTTGTTAGAGATAGTTTTGAATTAGTTACAGGTACCCAACCTACATAGGTATCAAGTTAACTGAATAAAAATAAAGTTTTTTGTTTTTTTTTTTTGCATAGGAAATTACTTAACGTCACTACACTCAAGATTTTAAATTTTCGCGTTCCATTTCTTACTATTTTAGACACTACACTTATTTATGAAAAGAAAACCCTGCATTGTTAGGAAAAATATGTAGACAACTTTTCGACGAGTATTATGTGAAGGGGATGAGAAAAGATTCATCTGTAGTTTATATGTACCATAAGGGATACGTTACACTAACTTAACAATTAAATAAGTAGCACAATACAAAAACAAAAGACAAAACTGCACAGTAACCCAAAGCATGTACAGTTAGCGTCAAATAGTTCGTCAACTCAAAGTTGCAAAAAATTAACAACACAAACGATTTCTAATTGGGTATTTGACACCATTCGCCAATAATTCTAAACAGACACTTCTTTCTGGTCTTAAAAACTTAATTAATTTTTAATTACCTGTAAATTACGATTTTTGGTTGCATTATAATTGTAAAAAGTAGTTTCATTGAGTTGATAAAATTGTGACGTCACATGCTAGTATCGCCGTACAAAATCTATGGGAGAGTGTCGTTTTGACAGTTTTAAAAAGTACGTCAATTGATTGGTGGTGTCAAATACCCTATTGTAACAAGAACGTGTTGCGAACTTATTGGCTACTTTGGGTGTCAGGAACTATTTGACGCTGACTGTACATACCTTACATGGAATATTGCTAAGCAGCTGACATTTAATACTTAGACTGAGTTGCATCAACTTACTTTCACCGTAACTTTTACAATAACCGGAGCTTTTGTATGGAGTTTGACAGATTTTTGACGTTTGTTCAAGTCAAAGCATGATGGTGAAACTCTGCCTTAGTATACACTAGAGTAATCAGTATTTTATAGTTACAGAACAGTAACCGCCTCTGTGCTCTAGTGGTAAGTCCACCTGCTTCAGACGCAGAGGTCCCGGGTTCGATTCCCAGTGGGGGCAGATTTTTCTGTTCGGTTTGGCTGGTGGTAGGGCTTGTTCTAAGTCCGCCTGGCTAGCTAACCACCATCTTACCTAAGTCTGTCGCCATAAAAACAATGTTAACAGCATTGTTGTGTTCCGGCAGTTAGAGGTAAGATAGCCAGTTTCTCCGTGGTTGAGGATTCCGGGTGAAGCTTATTTCTACCTTTGGCTCGATCGTCACTTACCATCAGGTGAGATACAGGCCAAGATCTTCCTCGTTGTGGATAAAAAAAACATACCCAATCACTGATCGACTCATTCATAGAGTTGGTGTCCCTCTTGAACAGCATGCGCAGGAGTCTCGGCGCTGTCAGAGCTTGGTAGTCCTTGACCAGCAGGTGGAGGCAGTACAGGACCCCAACCAGAAGTGCCAATAGAATGAGCAGTCTGGAAATGAAAAAAATATAGGACAGGTTATTTTGAACTGGGATATTTCTCTTTAAATTATTATTAATAATTGTCAACAACTATGTTAGCTGATTGCTGAACTCATCGAGTAAGAAGAGCAGTCGTGTTGGAAAACCTGAGAAGGTTGTAGTAACTATAATAGGTATAATAAGTACGTAATTATGATAACGTTTTTGATGATTAACGTGCCTAATTTATTTATGCATTTTAACGTCCGCTTGTCATCTGTTAATGACGTTATTTTGAGTATTAACTGCCTTATACATTTTTATTATTATCAGCTTGTTCAGTGCCTACCACAAAATAATAATGTACTTCGTGTTCCACATAGAATGCTTTGATCACAGTATATTAATTTAAACTATTTACCTACATACTTATGCCAATTTGCAAGGCAGAGGTTGCACAGGTTGTGGGCTAATTTTGAGCTTATTGGCTTAGTTACTGCAGTTTCTATACACATTATTAACGAACTGTATGTTTCCTGGTAAATACGAGCAATATTATTTCGCGGTAGGTAACTGAAGTTTCTACGAGCGGTAATTCTACTATTGTGATTGATCCAATTTATCATTTAATTGTATAGCTCGGTTTCAAATAAAAATGATGAGGTAAAAATGTAGCATTAATATTTAAACGGGCAACTTATGTTTGCACTGTAGACGAGGCGAAGAAAATCGGCAAGACTTGGAGCGAGATCAAAATGCGAAGCTCAAGACCGAACGCAATGGAGGACTGTTGTGGACGCCCTCTGCCCCATCTAGGGTACCTACACAAAGAACATTAATAATTCTTATCATAAGGTCGACAAACATAGACAATACATATAAACCTGCTGTCCAAGGGTTATGGTAAGACATAATAACAAGTAATTGTACCTAATAAATTTTGACCTGTGTGATAGGTTTCTTTGAAACCTACTTCAGATACCAATCTCTCACTTACAAGTGATAGGAACTATTCTAAAGCCCGTATTCACAAACGATGCTTTCGTAAGTGTCGAATAGAGCTCTGTGATTGGTTCATGTGTCACCCTATGCATCCACGCGCACTGTGAGACCTCATAGTAATGTTTGTGAATATGGGCGTAAGACTACTAGCATAAGACCCTTGTATTTAATTAGGTACGCATGTTTCTTATTTTGTGAATAGAGGTATAAACAATTATTTATTACTTTAAAAATGCTTCAAAGGATGAAGGTTCTAAGGTATATTTCTATTTGTCTGACAGTTTATCAATAAAGAAATGTTTCAGATTGTATTACATTTTCAATTTATTTGGCATGAAAGGAATATTAATAAAAATGGAAACATATGTATAAACAACGTAATTGTTTACAACTAGAACGAGTTTCAAATCCCAGTCTCTTGATACATAATACTCGTAAATTTCAATCAATGCAATATAATCATCTTCACAGTTTACAAACTTTCCAGATTTTAATAATGCTCGTAATAAAAAGTATAATTTGAATCTTAAATCAAATAACATTTTAGTATTGTATTAAAAAAACATGTTATTTTCAAGTGTAGCTAACGTAACATTTCGACCAAAATTTATTGCTTGAAAAAAAAATGTACAGAATACGGCATAATATCAAGTTCAACACTGAGGCATCTGATGAACGAGTTCTAGTTGGTGCTAAGTATTGTGCAACGATTAACGCCCGTATTCTCAAACAATGCTTGCTTATGTGAAGCAGCCAATCGAACGCACAGCATTGAAGCTCTGTGATTGGTTCGTATGGCAACCTGTGCGTCCACGCGCACTGTGAGACCTCATAGTAATGTTTGTGAATACGGGTGTAAGTAATGTGCGATGATTATAACAGTCTGATGTGCAGTCGACTGTACTTAGAATGTTTACTAATTAAAGCTATTACTAAAACAATGGATGACCCTGCAACTATCGATAGTTAATAAGATATTAATTTTTTACTCGATCAAAATTGTATATGAGAGAGACTATAATATTGAGGCTTATCGACTGCCTGTATAATTATGTATTGTGCCCGAGACTTCGTACCTACGCGTAAAAACGTTTGAAAATAATTCTTCTATAATATTTGCATAAATCTTTAGACAATTTTTGGCTCAGCGCTAACTAGCCCCAAAGTAAGCAACATATATTATGGTTAATAAAAGACCTATTCAACATAAAGTTTTTTAAATTCGAACCAGTAGTTCCTCGAACCAGTCATTGTTGAGATTTATAGCGCGTTCAAAAAACGTTTCACTATAATAATATTGCAATAGATTTATATTGTTATGTAGATTGATAAGTATATTACGTAGTTAATTAATACAGTCTGTAATATCGATTAGCTGACGACTACACCGTGCAGGTGGTAATTAAACAAGATTGATGGTAATCGGTAATTTATTGATATGAGATTGAAAGCCAAAATGACAGAAAGGGAATTAATAATCCTAAAGATTAACCGCCTTTATGGTAAGACCACCTGCTTCAGACGCAGAGGCCCCGGGTTCGATTCCCAGTGGGGGCAGATTTTTCTGTTCAGTTTTGTTGGTGGTAGGGCTTGTTCTAAGTCCGCCTGGCCTAGCTACCACCATCTTACCTAAGTCTGTCGTCATAACAACAATATTAACAGCATTGTTGTGTTCCTGCAGTTAGAGGTAAGATAGCCAGTTCCTCCGTGGTTTAGGATTCCGGGTGAAGCTCGCTTCCATCGTCGGCTTGAACATCATTTACCATCAGGTGAGATACAGGCCAAGAGCTTCCTCGTCGTGGATAAAAAAAAGATGCGAAAGTAAATCTGTCTATGAAATTTGATATTAGAAATTTTTATGGACCCAGGGAAAATCATAGGCTTTTGTTTATCCTGAAACCTATCCTGTTTATTAAACATGCACATACACGCGGAACAAAGTATTTATCAGACAATCTGCATCTCACGTGGGTGAAAGCTCAGGCAAAAGCTAGCAATATTACTAAGGCTCTTCAATCTTCAATGCCAGCTACGGGTTCGAGTCCCAGCAGGGACGAACTTCAGGGTGTCGAAAACCCTCGCCAAATATAAGTAGACGTTTGAAGTAGAATTGTGATTCATCATCATCATTTCAGCCATAGGACGTCCACTGCTGAACATAGGCCTCCCCTAATGGTTTCCATGTTGATCGATTGGTAGCAGCGTGGGACGTCCACCACCTACAAGGTGGACCGACGACATCGTAAAGGTAGCAGGGAAGCGCTGGACGCAGGCCTCTACCAATCGATCAACGTGGAATTATGATTATGTATAAATATTAAGGATCTTTTTATCAATTTAAATATCACATTGGACGCTAGAGAAGGTTTTTTGCAAGTACACGGAAAAGTTAGAAAAGATGAACATGATAAAAATGAAGAAGATGCAACATTGTCAATCTTGATAGGCTATCTGTACAATCGCCTGCGCAATAAACTACACCATGTTCATTGAAAAATCGCACTTATTTCAATTACAAAATGTGCCAAATAGCTTAGCTAGATGCGCCGTCAGCTACTTCGTTTGGGGCAGGTACCTAATTAGTGTTTATTGGAACAATTTTAAAGAAAGTAAATTGCACTAAGAATTATTTGATAATGCGAGTAATTAATACTTGAGAAAGTATATTTATTAGCAAAGAAAACTTAAGATTAGCCGCAAACTGTTTTAACCGACTTCTTCATAAATATCTTTGTCATAATTCAATGCTTTCTTCAGCAACTTATCTAATACACGTTAGTAGATATTATTTCCTACAAGTTTTCTAGAAGAAATCACTTTCAGTTATAAGACCACTTACATTAAACTATGCCTATAATTATTGAACGTATTCTCGTTATGACGTGAAAATAGCCAATTTTCATCGAAGTGATTAATGAATTAGCATTTAAGTACAAACACAATCACTGAATTATTCACAATGTAGTGGAATGTAGCGAAACCTATTATGAAATAATTAAACTTACATAATTTGATATTTGGGTGTAAATGTGTCACTTCTAAGTAATATGTGGGGGTATTTTACACAATTTTATGAGTTAGGTACCTGTTCGAATGCACTGATAAAATCTCTCAAATAAAAACTACGAGTAGGTATGTCACTAATTTCTTAATCGAAGAAAAAATATGAATTCACTGTAAAAACACTCTTATAACGAACGTCATCAATAAAGTGTTCATTAATCAAATAATTTGAAATTCGAGGCGCAAATACGAGAGATCCGAAAGCCAAATATATACATATGTTTGGAAATCCTAGTTCCACCATCTACATAACATTATTTACGTTTCACTGCCTCATATTCAGAGAACTAATTAATTTCTAATAAATATGTATGTTGACTCACCTAACCCCCATTTGAACCACGAATTATTATAAAATTCACACACAACCCGCACGCTGCGCTAGGGAACTAAATTCGAAATTAGCGGTTTTCTGCAGTACATTTCCTTGCATTGCTTTGGCTATAAACCGGTGGAATCAAGGAGACTGACTGTTGCTTTCCGGTTGTACTGTAAAGGGTATTACTCTAATTGGAGCAGTTGTAAGCCGTTCGTGGTCGAGGAAAGTGGTCTTGGGACCGGGTTTGTTGTTTATTTCCTCTTAAGATTAAGGATGTAGAGTTCACTACTATCTCGACTGTATCTTGGTAATTGTTTTGCGCTGTATTAAGACGGTTATATAACATCTAGGTTTTGTGACATACTTTTCTGAATTTTGTGCTGCGATGAGTCATGTTATTACTAGAATTGAGGTATTATTCCAATTCCAAAGTAATATTGACGTAATAGTATTACATTTTAATGCATTTTTACGTAATGTAGAGACATCATGCTTCTTTATTAACTTTCCATTTGCTATTTTTGTAACTTTCAGAAAAAATAATATAAATAATTTTCTGCACGCTACTTATAGATGGATTCGTAGATAGCAAGTAAGAAAACGAAAAGTATTTAGGTAGGTAATTAAAACAATAAGCATAAGAATGCTGTTTTCATTCCATTAACAAAAATTAAAAATAAATCTAGTTTATGACTCGATTGTTAAAACATCTATTAAATATTTTAAGAATTTGAGACTGCAAAAAGTTGGTTAATAAAACAAAGTAAGACGGCAAAAAAGTACCACCTGTCTTTTCATTTCCAGGAACCTTTTAAATAATAACGTAGCCATACCATGATACCGGGAAAAGACTTCAAAGGCTTAACAAGTTCAAATATTTCGTGCTCTTTGTTTCCTTCAATCCACTCAACTGAAAGCAAAAAATGAACATTCGGCAACAGAAGAGTTTCCAGACCCAATAATGAAAAAGCCAATATCGACCCCAAACATTTTCACCTATATTTATGATTTGGATCTGGTCTACATTGTTCGGAAACAAAAACACGGACTCTGATTAGATAGTTAACTAGTTTGTGGCCACGGCTTTGCGTGAATTTCGGTCTTGTCGCGGATAATGGTGTTTTAATTTTTGCATAACTCCAGATCCCTTTTATTTTATTTTTTTTAGGTATTAGTAAAATCGCTTACTAAAATCATCAGCTTAGCTGGATTGGGCAAATATCTCGCGTGAACTTACCAATTTATTTTACTTATTTTGAAAAAACAAACATACACTTCTATGTAATTTATTTATTGTATAGTTTAGAGATTAAGATGACTTCTTGAGGTGTATTTTAGCCTTTTCTAAAATTAAATTAACCAGTCGATTAAGAATATTTTTTCATTCCTTGCCAAAAGAACGATCTTATTGTATAAAGGGATACTTAACATTGAAATGATCATTATGTAAGTACCTATTTAGGTGTTACAAGTTTGCTTACCTTTGGTACTGATAAGCTGAGGCTACTAAAGATTTAAGTAAAACACTTTTCCTGGATGATAAAATACTTAGTTAAACATGATCTTTCCTCATGTACCCAAGATTTCTTAAGAATTCCTTGTAGACTTCTGTAACCACTATTTTAACACTGAGTGTAAACTAGCTTATTAGCTGGTAAAAGTACTTGATAAAATACAGTAATTTCTCGTTGTGTTTAACTTCCAGTGCCAAGAGCTTAAGATAATGTTATGTCATCATAATAATCCCTACTCTGCTGAATTTTGCATTATCGGATAAATTCAATTTTTTTGCTTCAGGAATGTTTATTTTCCCGGAAAAGACAGGAATCAATCAAAAGAGTGATATTACTTATACTCTTACAAACATGTGAAAATATTTCTTCGTATTCTCCTACTCGTCGTATTATAAAAAAATGTGTTCTAAAAAGTCTTGAGAGGTCAACAAAAATGGGGGTTTGGACAACGCGTTCTTTTATTTTTTCAAGAACGGAAAAATTGTAAGCAATTATTTGACTACACTGCAGTATTTCAACAGCGTAGGTAGATACTCATATTAAACCCACACTCTTACTTACTTCCATACTTACTTCGTGAATTATTGAGAAGCCTGATTAATAATCATACCATATTATAATATTTCGCAGGAAATTAAAGTTTGTTATTTCATGTGTGGAAACTCGAGAAAATTTCGGGAAAATCTCGCTAAATCGATTTTCCTCTTCCGTATGCTAAATTTCTTGAAATTGTGTAACATATACACGCGCAAACAGATCTGTAATAATTAAGCAAATTTTCGCAATACTATATTTGCAAAACGTACCTAATATGTTATGTATTGATAATTAATTCATAAATTAACAATATAAAATTGATTATTTGAACACTTAACTTGATCGATCTGAAGCCTTTACGGGCGATAATTGCCTAGTAGTGTATGGTATTGTGTAATTAATTTAATTTAGAGAAGTATATTTTTACCGAAAAATAATGTGAGATCTGATTCTAGACTGCTAAAGCACTTTATGATTTATTTTATTAACAGTTAATTATTTTTTATTCTCTCTTTTAGTTCGTACATCGCGGACAGACGACCATATAAAAGTCATAAACGTAGCAGGAAGGTAATAGCTGCAAGCCGCTACCAACCGGCCAATCTGGAAATCATTGGGGGAGGCCTACTCGTATGTTCAGCAGTGAACGTCTTGAGGCTGAAACGATGATGATAATGATGAGATTATAAAGAGACAGAGTATGTAAATTGTTGTTATTTGGTTCCGTACTCCTAATGTAGCTATTATAATCCACATAATCCGTTCGTTCGTTTCAGCCAAATGACGTCCACTGCTAGACAAAGGCCTCCCCCAAGTTTTTCCACAATGAACGGTCCGGCGCTGCCCGCATCTAGGTTCTTCTCGCGATCATTACCAGATCGGAGCTATGTTTATCCGCATTGATGAGAACGTAATAAAAATGATAAAAATAACTTGTTCATGTAAACTTAATCTGGGTCATTTACTTTCAGGCAATGTCCTAGTGTCTGTCCCAAAAGAAAACGTGATTGTTGTGCAATTCTAGTTTGCATTTAGGGCAATAAACTGGACTTTGTTCACGATCTCGTGTTACGTCACTTTATAGCCTTGTTGCGCGGTGTATGCCGGAGACATTATGTAAGGACGAAGTTCAATGATCTTTTACCAACAATGGGATAGTCAGCAAAATGAGTATGTTCTATTTGTGAAATTCTAGTTCATGAGGAGACGAATGCTAGTGCTTGCTTCTGTGTTCGCGGAATACCTACTTAGGCTGAGGTACCACCTCAGGGTACCACCTAACTTTAGCCGTGACTGTAACCAACCGGTGTGTTTTGTATGACGTTTGACAGCTTTTTGACATTTGTTAAAGTCAAAGTAAGAGGGCATCCCAGCCTTAGCGCTCCTGCACACGACGCCGCCACCGCGCCGCCGCCGCGCCGTCGCTGCGCCGTCGCTGCGCCCCTACACTGTTCATACGCACCGAGTAAAGCCCGCCGCCGCGCCGCCGCCGCGCCGCCGCCGCGCCATCAAAGCATAATTTCGCGGCGGCGCGACAGCGGACTTGACGCGGCGCGTACCTATAAACAGTTAGTCTAAGATCCCGCTATACAACGACCTTCACCGAGATGCTTATTTGATGAAACANATGAGGTACCACCTAACTTTAGCCGTGACTGTAACCAAAACCGGTGTGTTTTGTATGACGTTTGACAGCTTTTTGACATTTGTTAAAGTCAAAGTAAGAGGGTGCATCCCAGCCTTAGCGCTCCTGCACACGACGCCGCCACCGCGCCGCCGCTGCGCCCCTACACTGTTCATACGCACCGAGTAAAGCCCGCCTGCGCCGCCGCTGCGCCGCCGCCGCGCCGCCGCCGCGCCATCAAAGCATAATTTCGCGGCGGCGCGACAGCGGGCTTCACGCGGCGCGTACTATAAACAGTGCAAAGGCGCGGCGGCGGCGGCGTCGTGTGCAGGAGCGTTTAGAATATGCATGCAAATGCAGTTTTTGGAATGAACTCTACTTTTAGTTACTTTTTAGGAGATGATGCATTTAGATTATACAATTCTAGAATTCCTGTTCACGTCGAGATGAAAGCTAGTGTTTTCCTTCTGTGTTCGCGGAATAGAATGTCGCAAAAACGTTGTGTTATACAGGGTGCAGTTTTTTGGTACGAGCTACTTTTATTGAATGATCAAACGAACTTACCAAGTGAAGTTCGATCTAAATTATCCTGTTTTCGCCGAAGAGATTTATCCGTCCTTAACTTTAAAGACACCCATGTCGAAAAAAAATACTTTTCCCCATAGCTGCAAGTGTTGCCAGGTGATCGAGATGAAAATGGTCAAATGTCATTTGTACGACCCTTTTGCAGGAGGCGTCATCCAAATTTTTGACCGGAAGTCGTTATTTCCACTTTCGACATTTTTGGACCAAATCTCCGAAAGCATGGCAACACTGGAGAAATTTCTTCACCCAAGCGACACCTCTTGACAAGACACACAAACGCCTCATACAACTCGTCTTTCCCAAATGTTGCCAACTACTCGAAAAATGTCACCTTTCAGTTTTAATTTCACTTTACAAAATTCGACAACCGTCATTCAGGACTGATTTTTCGCAGGCAACCCTATACCACCGTGTTCATAATGAAATAATCTTTATTTTCATTTATATTTGATTAAATTATCAGACCGATGCAAAATGCTCTATCAATTTACCTGTTTATACCTGGCAACCCGAGAGTTATGACTGGAAAAGAATAGGCAACCTAACGTTTGCATATTCTATGGGCTTCATACTTTCGATTGGTATGGAGTTTGTTTAATAATCAAACCGATGAAATATTTAAAAATAAAACTTTTTTTAATGATTAATTAATCATATCCTGGACTGAAATTTATTAGGCAACCCTTAAGCAATATAATTATTGAAATGTTAAATTGAATATAAAATATGTTTCATCAAATAAGCATCTCGGTGAAGGTCGTTGTATAGCGGGATCTTATACTAAGTGCAAAGGCGCGGCGGCGGCGGC